GAGGGTGCGCCGCTGGATCTCCCCAGGGGGGGGGGGGATCCCCCCCCCTAACCCCCCTTCCCCGATCCGTCGTCGGGGACCCCCCCCTCCCCCACTTCCCCGATCCGTCGTCGGGGAACCCTCCCCCCCTTCCCCCCTTTCCCCGATCCGTCGTCGGGGGACCCCCTTCCCCCCCCTTTTAAAAGGGAAGGGGGGGTCCGACCCCCCATCCTCCCCCCCTTTGGCCGGACCCCCCCCCTCCCCCCCTTTCTCCGGGCCACTCCCTGACTCCGGAACCCGACCCCCGCCGCTCCTACCCCTAGTCCTCACCCCAACCCAAGTCCCTAACCCGAACCCCAACCACTAACCCCAGCCCCAAAGAGCACTCACTACTCATTACTCACTACTGACTACTCGCTATTCGCTACTCACTGCTCACTACCCCCTACTCACTAATCACGACTCAGTACTCACTATCCACTACTCACTACCCACCACCCACTACTCGCTACTCACTACTCCCTACTCACCACTCCCTCCTCCCTACTCACTACTCACTCCTCACTACCCACTATTCAATACTCACTACTCACTAAGCACTGCTCGCTACTCCCTACTCACTACTCACTAATCACTACCCATTACCCACTACCCACTAATCCACCACTCACTACTCACTACTCATTGCCCACAAATCACTACTCACTACCCACTACTCGCTACTCCCTATTCCCTAGACAATACTGACTACACAGTACTCAGTACTCACTACTCGCTACTCCCATACTCGCTACTCAATACTCACTACTCACTCCCCGCTACTCACTACCCACTACTCGCTAACACTACTCACTACTCACCAATCGCTACTCACTACCCACTATTCGCTACCCACTTCTTACTACTCACTGCCCCCTACTCCCTACTCCATACTCCCTACTCATTACTCACTACTCACTACTCGCTACTCCCTAGTCGTTACTCACTAATCACCACCCACTACTCACTAGTGACTACTCTCTACTCACTACTCACTACTCACTACGCCCTACTCGCTCCTCACTGCTCACTACTCGCTACTCCTTACTCGCTACTCACTACACACTACCCACTGCCACTACCCACTACTCTCTATTCATCACGACTCACTACTCACTACGCACTACGTACTAAGTACTCACTACTCACTACTCACTACTCGCTACCCGCTACTCTCTACGCACTACTCACTAGTCACTATTCACTAGTCACTAGTCACTACTCACTACGCACTACGCACTACCCACTACTCACTAATCACTAATCACTTCTCGCCACCCACTACTCACTACCGACTACTCACTACCCACTACCCATTACTTCCTACTCCCTACTCAGTACTCACGACTCTTTACTCGCTACTCGCTACTTACTACTCACGACTCGCCACTCACTACTCACTTATCAGTACACACTACTCACTATTCACTACTCACTACTCCCCACTCCCTACTCCCTACTTGCTACTCGCCACTCACTACCCACTACTCACTACGAAATACTCACTACTCACTACGCACTAACTCACTACCCACTACGCACCACTCCCTACTCCCAACTCCGTACTCCCTACACACCTTCTCTGGCGCAGAAAGGAGAAGCGAGAAAGGCCCCCCCTCCCCAGCTCCCTTTCCGGCGGCGCAAAGGGGGGAGGCGGAGGGGGGGGGGGGTTCTGCACCCCCCCCTTTAGTGTATTCAGGGAGATCCACTGGCGCACTTTCATAATTTTCAACCGTAGTATTTGTATGATTCGTATTTGTGTTAGAAATAATAGTCTGATTACCACCATTGTTATTCATAGTAGTGCAATCATTCCTCTTCTTCATATGATTGAACTGTTCCTTATTACTGTTCCTCTTCTGTTCCTCCTTCTTTTTCTCCCTCTCCTCCTCCTGATCCTCCTCCTCTGCCTCCCTCCTCTTCCTTCTCCTCCTGATCTTCCTCCTCCTCCTCCTCGTGCCCCTCTCCTCCTCCTCCTCCTCCTCCTTCTCCTCTTCCCTCCAACTCTCTCTCCCTCTCTCCCTCCTTCCCTCCCTCCTCCTCGTCTTCCTCGTCCTCGTCTTCATCCTCGTCCTCGTCCTCGCCCTCGTCGTCGTCGTCCTCCTCCTCCTCCTCCTCCTCCTCCTCCTCGTCCTCCTCCTCCTCGTCCCCCCCTCCCTCCTCTCCTCTTCCTCCTCCTTCTGTCCTCTTCCACTTCTCCTCGTCTTCCTCCTCATCCTCCTCGTCCTCGTCCTCGTCCTCGTCCTCCTCCTCCTCCCCCCCCCCCTCCTCCTCCTCTTTCTTTCTTTCGCCACTGCAGCGGTTGGCCCCGTAAACGGGGCCGCCGAAACCGGCGCCGCGCCGCCGCCGGGCCGGGCCGCAGGGCGCTCGCGGCGCGGGCGGGCCCCCCGCAAGCGGGCAGCAGGGAATGGATAGCCAGCTCCCCCCCCGTTTTGCCGGCCGGGAACACCCGACCACCGACAGAACGGGCAGGGGCCAGGCACCCCCAGACCCCACCACCCACCCCAGGGGCCCGCCACGACACGACACGACGCGACACGACGGGGGGACGAAACGAACGACGCGACACGGACGACACGACACGGACGAACGACACGACAGAGACGAGCCGCCGGTCCCGCCCCAGGGCGGCGAGCGCTGGGGGGAAACCAGCACCGCCCTGGGGGAGGCCACGGGACCGGGCGACCCCCCCGGGGGAAGGAAACCGCACTTTGGCGGCGTCCCCCGGGGTGCGGGGGCTTTTCGCCCCTCGGGCCCGGCGCTCCCCGTCTGCGCCAGGAGGACCCTAGGGTCCCGACCCCTCCCCCACGGGAGGGGCCCCCTCGGGGCCCTCCTCCTCCTCCTCCTCCCCTCCTCCTCCTCTCCTCCTCCTCTCCTCCTCCTCATCCTCCTCCTCCCCCCCCCCTTCCTCCTCCTCCTCCCTC